CTACTACTACTACTACTACTACTACTACTGCTACGAGTCATGAAAATAGTCGCAGTCGTAATAGCACAGGCAGGTGAATTTTGTTGGTAGTGAGGTGTTTGGCTGCTACCATATCGGAAGCGCACGCGCGCGTGCACACGCACACGCACACGCACACGCGCGCGCACGCGTACGCGCACGCCCTCGCGCTCAGGATGGGGTTCGGGCTCGGGCTCGGGCCCAGGCTCGGGCTCGGGCTCGGGCTCACGCTCGGTCTCAAGCTCGCGCTCGGGCTCGGGCTGGGGTCGGGGTCGGGATCGCGATCGGGCTCGCACTCGCACTCGCGCCCAAATCTGCGCACGCGCGCGCACACGCACACGCGCACGCTCACGCAAACGTGCACGCACTGTTCCCCTTTGACAGCGAGGCACAAATACAAGGCTAGGACAACCACCCCCGGGCCCCGGCCCATCCCCCCCCCCCTCGCCCAATTGAAAGCGTCAAAGCCCTAAACACTGTAAGGTTCCAGCGCCAATTTTTTATGGGGGAAAGTGGCTCCAACAGCTTATGCAAACACGACGGGTGTGTTCCAGCACCCACTTTGTGCTAGGGACAATGGTTCCAGCAGCTCGCAGCGTGGGCCCCAGCTCCCAACTTTGACGAGGGAAGGTTGTTCCAGCTAATTTCCAGCGAAAAAGGCGGGCTGTCGTCTGAAAGGGCAGCTAGAGCGATCCGCGCCTCAGCCACGAACACTCCTACAGCCTGTGAAACTTCACTAGCACAACATCCACCGATTAGTAGTAATAGCAATCGCAATACTGAGAGTAGTCAGAGTAGCTGTAGTAGCAGTCGTCTGTAATAGTTGCAATCAGAAACAATACTAGCCGTAGTAGTCGTAGGCCGAATGCGTAGCAGTATGTCGTCGTATGTGATAGCAGTGACTACTCTAGAAGTAGTAGCACCAGTGATAGCAATAGAAAAACTAGCTGTACTGGAACGCTTGAAGCGCTTTACCCACACGTGCTTTCTTGAAGACGCCACTCATAACAAGGCACATGAAGTAGTTAGTTGCCTGTGGCTCGGTGCTGATGTCCAAAAAATTGCCACCCTCAGTCAAACACGTGCATTGGGCTCATGGTTTCGTTGCGCTTCAAGATACTCACGCAAAAAAAAAAAAAAAAAAAAAAAAAACTGAATAACCACTTGCCCCCTCCCAAATTGAATGTTCACATGAGTCGTGAACATTGTCACCTACAGCTACACCTGAATCTCCAACTAAAAGTTCACTCGCGCCCCCATAATGTGAGCATTCACTACTGGATTCACAAATCTTTCCATCTGAATATTCACTCGCGCGCTCACCCTTTAGCTATTCACTGAAACCTTCCCTTGCATAGTCGCTTACATCTTGACCTGAATGTACACTTGCACTCTCTTCACTTCAACATCCATGTAACTCGTCATTGAAATCGCCAGCTGCATATTAACTCATATCTTCACCATTTGAAATGCCCACTGACATGTCAACGCACATGTGTATCAAAAGCTTCACGTAAATCGTCACATGGATCGTCACCTAAAACTTCACCTAAATGTCCATTCGCGCCCTAGCCGTTTGAATATAAGCGTCAATATGCATCTGCAGCGTCATCCTACTCTTCTCTCGCGCCATCACAGTTACACAGCCATTGGTATAGACACCAAAATCTGCGCGTGCATCTTCACGGGCGGTCTACACACCAAAAACGTCGGCTAAACCTGCACCCACATCCTCACCTAAATCGTCATCTGAATCGGAATCTGGATATTAACTCGCGCCCTCACCGTTCAAATGTTCTCTTCAACATCCGCACACAGCACCATCTGAATCTCCACTCGCGCTTTCACCGTTTCAATACCCACGTCAGACTCCACGTAAAAATTGTAAGTCAAATCTGAACTTAAAATCTTCACACGTGCCCTCCCCACTTAAACCGTCACTTTAATCGTCGTGGGAATCTTCACCAGGATCGTCCCCTACATCTTCAGGTGAATCGTGACCTGACTCGTTATCTAAATCTTGTGAAGGCGTCCTTAACGATTTAGGACGACGAATCCAGGATTTGAGTGACGATTGTTAAGTGGATATCCAATCGGTGGGCAAACAAGTGACGAGTTCGATAAGGAGTTCGACCGAGGTTTCAAAAATATTGCCACGGTACGTGCGCAAATGGAGAGTTTCGTAAAATGTCCCAAGGCATATTGACGCGGAGATTCACATCAAAATTGAGATACGATTCTATAGGTGAGAGCGCGAATGAAGATGTAGATGAAGACTCCCAGATGAAGAATCAAGTAAATATTGGAACGTTGAATGCGCGAGTGCCGATTCAGGTGAAGACGTAGGTGGAAGTTCGAATGGAGATTCAAGTGGATTTTCTGAAACAAAGAACACCAGTGACACTTTAGGTGAAGATTGGACTCAATATTTCAGTGGAGAGTGTGATGGCGAGGGCGCGAGCGAAGATTTAGGTGAAGACTTAGGTGCCGATGTAAGAAGACATCTAAATGCTGAGAGCGCGAATGGAGATCTAAGTGAAGACTCACGTGAAGATGTCATTCAAAAGTTGAATGAAGATTTTTAAACGGTGAGAGCGCGAGTGAAGATTTAGAAGACCATTGGTATGAAGATGTTAGCCAGTGTGGACCCCAAACAGTCAGTTATTGCACTGTGGCTGTGCAAGCTATGCGGTGCAAGCTATGTGGTGTAAGCTATGTGGTGCAACATACGTGGTGCAAGCTCGAGGCGGCAACGAAGCGGCATCGAGCGGCAGCGTGGCAAAACCTATTCGCGCCCTCCCAGCGCACGAGGCGGCCACGAAGCGGCCACGGACGGACGAGAAGGCCACGACGCGGGCACGGGCGGCACCATGGCGAACGAACCCTCGCCAAACACACCCAGCGCACGAGGCGGCCACGGGCGTCACCGTGGAAATTCCTCGACAACTCATATCAAACCCCTGAGTAAGATGTACGCTGTTGCACTTTGGGCCACTGGCTATGCATGTGATGCAGGTTCCATGGTGTAAGCTATGTGGTGCAACTCTACGTGGTGCAAGCTGCGTGGTGTGGGAGATGTGGTGCAAGCTGGGGACGGTCCTCAAAAGCTGCATGGTGCAGGCTGCGTGGCGCAGGCTCCGTGGGTGCAGACTGCGTGGGGAACGCTGCGTGGTGCAGGGCATGCGATGCATAGCCACGTTGGGCGGCCACGGGCGGCGGCCACGGGGCGGCTACGGAAGAGATCCACGGGTCACCCGCCCGATTCGTTGGCAGGACGAGGAAGAAGCTCCGAGTGCGGGCATTGCTCGCGGAATTCTAACGAAGATGTGGGCGGTGAGGGCGCGAGGAGTGAAGATTCAGGTTAAATGCAGGAGGAGAGTTCGATGACGATGGAAGTGGAAATCTAAGATGGAAGTGAAGATTGAGTGAAGATCAAAACGGTGAGAGCGCGAACCTAAATTCAGATTAAGATGCTGAGGAAGACTTCATAATATATTTGAACGGTGAGAGCGCGAATGAAGATGTAGGTGAAAATTCAGATGTAGATGTAGGTGAAGAGTAAATTTAGACTTGAGGACTAATCGGTGCGAGCGCGACTGCAGATTCAAATGAAAATTTATGTGAAGATTTCAGAGTGCCTTCCAAGAGGGTGCACAACGCGGGGGAAGACTAAGGCACATAGGGGTTTATGCGGGGACTTGGTACGGGACAGTGTATTGCAGATCGCAGAACCGTTGATGCATCTGGGTGTACTCTGATCCTCCTCATCCTGCTCCCTGATCCCCCTTCCTTTTAAGTTAACCCCCGTGCCCCACCCCCAGACGTATTTGCACGCTGGCCTGGGCATTTTGTCTGAGACTTCTCCATAATTCACGATCCCGTAGTCATAATTTCCAGCAACTACACGAATAGTGGCCGGTCCCTTGAAAATGTGGGTCTCCGCTGGGGGCTGGACACTTCCGTATCAAGAGCTTGCAACGATTAGAAGGACGGAGGCCTGCACTTGGTTTCACATGTGGGCATCGCTCTGCCGCCGCACACAAGTCGTCTTAAAACATGTCAGCCGACGCAACAAATGGAGGCGAGCACCTCTTCATAATACGGCTCTCCGTGTGGCGCCGCACACGCTCGCTCAATATGCACCACTGCTGGACGCTGGTGCGTTTAGATGCTGCGGGTAGCGGGGCCTAGGAGGAGTCAACGTCGTCGCCGGGGCGGCGCTTCCAGGGGATACCCTCGGCGATCGGGTGCTCGGCGCTAGTGAGGGTGAAGTCGAGCTCCCCTCCGCAGTCGCACACACTTTTCTGGCGTCGCGGCCCTGCGCGCAGCAACAGGGCATAAAAAGCTCAGAGAAGCGGGCGCGCATGCGCGTCTAAAGTCCGAGCCCTCAGGCCGCTTGGAACAAGCAGCGCCGGCCGCCCTCCAAAGCCATCCGGGCGTGGATGACGGGTGGGTCGGACGAGGACAGGCAGACGAGCCGACCGGCACGACGACCGGCGGACACATACGCACACACACACACACAAAACAAACAAAAAATCACAAACAAACAAAACAAAAAAAACTCACAGACACACACACACAGACACACACCCGCGCGCACACACGCACTCTGCGCTGACACACGCCCGGACGATCCTCGATCGGCCCTCCCCCCGAGCGCCCCTCCGCCGCCAACGCCGCTGGCCGCCCCTGGCGTCGCGTCTGCCAGGTCGTGCAGGACCGCCTCGGCGAAGAAGCGCGCGGGCAGCCGGCGGCGGGCGGGCGGCCGCGCGCCGGCGTCGCGGCGTCGGTAGAGGAGCATGTACGCCGTGGCCCGGCCGTTCGCCTGCGCACCGCCGAGAGATGGCATCTCACTTTTCGGAGATACTAGAGGGCCGAAAATCCCCCCCGATAATAACCACCCCGACACGCGAGGCCGACTGGCAAGCGCACCCAAAGAAGGAATCAAACAGGGTAGGGCTGTTTAGTGAGCGCCCAGGGCCGTTTAGCGAACGCCAACTGTCGGGTCTGGGTGGTTTCTCCTCCTTTGAGATGACCGCGGTCAGCTGGTGGGGGGGGGCCCGAGCGGGGCGGTGCCGACCGATAAGCCAGCCTTGTCGCGGTGGGCAGCCCCGCGCACGCCCGCGCGCACCGCGTGCCGCGGTGCCGCGTACCCCCATCTAGTCGGGCCTGCGCAGCCGACGAGGCCGGGTTGTCCGAAGGGGAGGGGAGCCACCTCCATATCCGCGCCCTCGCGGTCGGGATTCGGGGGCGCGGTCCCGCAGATGCGCGGTCTCACGGATACGTTGCCCGTGGGGCATTCACGAAAAAGCACCCCGCATCCGTGGGGTCGCCGCCAAGGGACCCGGCCCGCGAAGCCGCAGGTACGGAGGCGTTTCCCGTCTACGAAACCGGGTCGGACGAACCCGCCTGGATCACCACTGAGGTTGCGGGGAGGATCAAGGGGTGGATCAGTGGATGCTTATGTGGGTTAGATCTGGCCTGGTCTGGCTTATCGCTGGCTCAAAGCTGCCCTGGGTGGCTTAAAGATGTTTGCTACCTCTGCTAAGTGGGCTCCGCCCAGTTGGCCCAGATCCTTGCCACCCCCCTTAAGCCGCTCAAGGCACTTGCAACCCATTTATAAGCTAAGTGAAGCCAGATATAACCCGCTTTGGCATCCACTTGGAGACCCCTGTCCCCTTAGCAACCCCAGCGGTGATCCAAGCAAACGTCCTCGCACTGCGAAGAGAAAGTCACGCCGCAGGGGGTTTGGTCCACTGTCGGGCTCCAGGGGCCCTCGCCGGGCCCCAGAGCCTTCAAGAACTAGGGATGATAAACTGGTCCTGGAAAGGAGGGCTAAACCTGCGGGGGTCCACGTGAGAAAAATCACGAAAGTGGGAAAGTAGGGTCGAGTTCGGTTGGAGAGGACACGCGAAGGGACACAAGGTTCTGGCGGAGGCATCATTGCCGCAGGAGTGCAGAGGATATGAGACACCATAATTATGGAAGCACAGCGTTGTACAGTGCTGTCAGCGTCCACGCGCCTCTGGCGTACGGCTTGTGCGCGTATACGCAGGACACAAAGGGGGGTACCCCTGACTTGGCAGGGCCAACCTGCTAATCAAACTCGACTTTGAAGGAGGGGGCAATTCACGTAACTAGATGGTTTCCTCGGCACCTGCTGGCGCTGGAGACGCCCGCATGTTTACTGATAAGAGCGCCTCGCGGCGGAGCCAAAACCAGCTGCATGCAGCATTTCAAAGGGGCCCAGGGACACACTTTTGCGTCGACGGCTAGGCAGAGGGTGACTGCGCTGGCGATGAAGGGCATGACCTGGGTTACCGTTGGGCCGAATTGAATTGTGACACCATAGAGGAGGAGGAGGAGGAGGAAGAGGAGGAGGAGGAGGAGGAGGAGGAGGAGGAGAAGGAGGACGAGGAGGAGGAAGAGGAGGAGGAGGAGGAGGAGGAGGAGAAGGAGGAGAAGGAGGAGGAGGAGGACGAGGACGAGGACGAGGAGGAGGAGGAGGAGGGAGGGAAAAACCCCAGGGACACACAAATGAATACGCACAAATCCCAGGAATCCCCATATTTCCCAACTTTTCTGGGCTTTCGTCTTCCCCCCACTGCCCATATGTTCTTAGGTTTTCCTGGGAGTCGACGCTTAAATGTGTCTGTAGGTGTTTCCCCTGCTGACATTTGTTGCTGTAACGCCCCCTTCTCAAATCCCCACCCTTTGCCCAGACATGCCCGACAAGGCCGTCAGAAAATTGGCGGGACATGCGTAGTCTGAAATTTGACGCGGCTCGCCGCTGGACCCCCTCCCGGAGCTCCGAAAATGTATGATTGCATGTTGTTCTCCTTCGAGAGCCGTGAGAACTCAGACCGGGGCCGTCAAAAGGCGGCGGCAAGCCCGAAATCTGGTAAGCTCGAGTCTTCCGTAGACATCCGAGGATCTGAGTTTTTCCATGCGCGGCCCCAGGTGGTCCCGAAGCCTTGCCTGCGGACAATGTTTCGCCCCGGCCCCACTTGGGTGGCCCCGAGGGCCAACAGCAGACCACAGAGGCCGAGATCGAGACAGAACGCTCGGATTGAAAAAAACATGTCTGGGGAAACCAAAAAAGGTACGGATACCGCTACTCCCCGGACCTCTCCTGGGGTGCGTTCTGACCAGATCTTCGAGGCGAATCCAGTGGTGGCGACGACGGAGGCCCGGGAGGCCCGAAAAGGGGAAAGCGAGTGGAGGGTAGAGGTCTGGGTACCTCTTCCTCCTCCGAATGCCGTCGAAGATCTGGGAAGGCGACGGTCAAGTCCGGGCTCTCGCACTCTCGAGCCCTGCGCCCATCCCGGGGAAGACACCGCCCAGAGACGCCACCGGTGCGGCAGGCCCGATCGGTGCGAGGACGCCGGCGCCAGGCCTCTGACCAGCGGGAGGCTTCGGAATGGGGGCGCAGCAGGCCTCGGAAGAAAGAAGCGAGCACCCGAAGGATTGCAAAAAAAAAACCAGGATTGCAAAAAAAACCTTCGTCGAAGGATTGCAAATCCTTCGTTCAGGTTTTTTTGCAATCCTTCGTTCAGGTTGTTTTGCAATCCAGGGTTTTTTTTGCAATCCTTCGTTCAGGTTTTTTTGCAATCCTTCGTTTTTTTGCAATCCTTCGCTCGGAGGCCTGGAAATGGGCACCAACACCAACACAGGGGGGTGCCTCCACAGGGGGGAGATGATCCTAGATCTCGGTGTTGGTGGTACCGCCTTGGAAGCCAGAATATTACCACCATCACCGAGATCGGAATCGTCTTCCCTCGGTGGAGGCACACCGCCGATATTGGTGTTGGTGTCAACCTCCAGGCCTGCGACATGCCACACTCATCTGTCAACACCTCCCCCTCCCCCCAGTGTTCAAAGTTGGCGGTGGGTCTGATGAGTTGCACCTCGGCCGCAGTCTCCCCCGCGCGTGCCCCACTTTGAGTTTGGGGGGGGAGGGGGAGTGTTGAGTAATTGTTTCCTTCTACCGAAGTGCGCGTCGGTCGGAAAAAGTAGGTAAAAACATGAAGTAGGAAGGCGGACAAGGTAGGTTGGGTTCAGGCACTCCCAGAGAAAAACAAGACACTGCAAAAACCGATCGATCCTTGAAAAAGGACGGTGCTAGAAGTAGACGGGGATCTGGGAGTCCTGGAATAGCTATTTCCAACGACCGGCGCGTAGATGGGGTCAGAGGATCGCGCCGCCAGGGGTCCATCTGGCGCAGTGTTTCGCCCTGGATACTGTTTTGACGACCCTGGGGCCCGAAAACGGCCCCCGGAGGCCGAAAAAGGCACAAAACCTCCTCGGACGTAGAACCTCGAACCTCGAACCTCCCTTCCCACTCGCCGGAACCAGTTGGCGGCGCACAGGGGGGTAGGCCGAGGGGGGAAAGGCTCCTTCGAAGGAGGCTGCTTCTTAGAAGGCACCGGGCACCGGCCCTACATCTATAGAGAAGGCCCGCGCCTTCTAGAAGCAGGGGTGCTTCGAAGAAGCCTTCCCTCCTTCTCCTACTCCCCTGCGCGCGTGGCCGACGCGGCTCGCTGGATGTCGGGCCGCCAGCGACGTTTCAGCCCCGACGCCCTCGAGTCGCGAAAAAATCGCGACGAGGGCGTTCCGGCAGTTCTCGGTCGCTGGGGGCCCTCGCCAGGCTCCAAGACGGTCAGAAAACGGCTCGGGGCGAGAAGTCGGTCCCAATGAAGAATGGGCCCCTCACCACGTCTGTGCCCGGGGTGCAGCCCACGGCGGATGCGGAGGAGGAGGAGGCGGAGGAGGAGGAGGAGGAGGAGGAGGAGGAGGAGGAGGCGGAAGAAGAGGAGGAAGGGGGGGGGAGGGGGGGGGGAGGGAGAGGGGGAGGACGAGGAGGAGGAGGAGGAGAGGAAGGAGGAGGAGGAAGGAGGAGGAGAAGGAGGAGAGAGGAAGAGGAGGAGGAAGAGGAGGAGGAGGAGGAGGAGGAGGAGGAGGAGGAGGAGGAGGAGGGTTCCAGACCTCTGGGGGGCCCACGCTGCGCAAAAATCATGGCGTCGGAGGTCTGGGACCAGCGGCGTGTTTCAACCCAGCCCCTCCAACGCAGGGCGACGAGGTCTATGGCAGGATCGTGTAATGACGACCCTGGTCTTGATCTCTGACACCGCGTGGGTTGTTCTAGGTCGGGCATGTCCTTCTACAGGCGGGCTCTGGAGGAAAAAATCAAAAAATAGTCCAAACATCTTCACAAATAGTCAAAAAAATCGAAAAGACGTCCCCAGACTATGTTTTTGTTTATCTATGTTTGAATACTCCTCCTGCAGAGGGACACGCCGGATTTCAGGACTGTTCAGCCTTGAACGATCGGCGGCTTTCCGATCGCCAGATCGCTCCCTGTCGGACGATTCTGGGCCGCTGGCGGCGTTCAATGAAGGGGCCCTGGGACACACAAATAAATGCACACAACTAACAGGATTCCCCAATTTTCCCATATTTTCTGGATTTTTGTCTTCCACCCCACTTCCCATATTTTCTGGGGAATCGACCAAAAAAATTGTGCCTGTGTGTTTTTGCTTCCTCCTGATTCAACCTCGAACGCCCGCGGCGAGGTCGCCGCCGAATCGGCACGACGCGAGCCTGCCGTAGGCACATCCGCTGCCAAGAGGCCTTGACCATCCCGGGCCCGGGAGGAGGTGCACGCGCCCTCCCGGCTCGGCCAGGGAGGCATACGCACTGCACGTGGGTCCCAGATGGGTCAGGGCCAGTGGATCTATAAATATTAAGAGGAAAACAAACCTACCTCGCTTTTGGCCACCCTCGCTTCCAAGAGATACCAAGCGATGCCAATTGCAGCCTGTACTGGGCAGGCCACTTGACGAGGAGGCGCGTGGTATGGCCTGGTTTTGCCTGGAAGCGAAAGCGGGGTAGGTAATGCACGCTCTGAGAATAGGCTTCATTCGTCCTCGCGCCGCGAAACATGCGAGCGTCTGCGAGGGCCCCCCGGGCCCGAGCCGAGCCACAGTCGCCCGCTGTGAAAACACTGCCACGCCAGGATCTCAGGGCGGGGCGTGAAACCAGGCCGACCCCGGGGAAGAGGTCCAGACTTGGGTCGGGCATGGCCTCCTGCAGGCGGACTATAGCGAGAGAGAGAGAGAGAAAGAAAAACACATGCTCAAACATGGCAAAGAATGTACCCAGAGTATGCTTTGACCTATGCTTGAAGAGTCTCCCTGTGGAGGGACGTGCCCGGCTTAAGTCCAGGCCTCTTGGGGCCCACGCCGTGCAAACAAAACAAAAAAAACAATACAAAACAAAACAAACAAAAACCAAAAAAAAAAAAAAAAAAACGCGGCGCCGGGAGTCTGGGGCCAGCGGCGCTCCACGTGGAGCGCAGGGCGCGCGCCGGAGCCCCCGCCGCGCACCACCGCGGCGTGCACACTGCCGCTTCCTCCGCCTCCGCCTCCTCCTCCGCCTCCTCCGCCTCCTCCGCCTCCTCCTCCTCCTCTCCCCCCTCCTCCCCCTCCCCTCCTCCTCCTCCTCCGCCTCCTCCGCCTCCTCCTCCTCCGCCTCCGCCTCCTCCTCCTCCTCCTCCTCCTCCTCCTCCTCCTCCTCCTCCTCCTCCTCCGCCTCCGCCTCCTCCTCCTCTGCCTCCGCCTCCTCCGCCTCCTCCTCCGCCTCCTCCCTTCCCACAACTCTGAGGGGCTTCTCGGAGTCCGCGCGGATTTCTTGGATCGGCGCTGACCCCCCTCCCTGGCCTCCGCGCGCCAGGGATGGCGCCGGGGGGCGCTGCCAGGGAGGCCCAACGCCGATCCGAGAAATCCGCACGGAGCCCCGAGATATGCTGCTTATGCTGAGGCCCCCCTTGGCAAGGCTCCAGCGGAACGATGAAGGCGGATACGCCCAAACACAGGATGCCTTAAAATTTTGTTCAAAACGGGGTCCCCAATAGTCCCGACCCATTTCCCATGGGTCAATTCTCCATACCGGGTCGCGTCTTGACGGTCCCGGGGCCCAGCGAGCTGCCAAAAATCCCCCCGGCGTAAATTCTTCACGACGCGCTACCAGACGACGACGACGACGACGACGACGACGACGACGACGACGACGACGAGGATGACCACGACGACGACGACGACGACGACGACGACGACGACGACGACGACGTGGGCAGAACTCCGGTCGGCCACACGCAAGAGCGACCCTTGGTCAGAGTGACTTTTGGTGCGCGGCTTCTTGGGGGGGCCGCAGGGCGACCAGACACGAGCGCGCAAGATGCTGCCATCGCATCGCGCTCGGCGATCGGGGAACCACAGTGGGCCCACACCAAAGGTCACTCCGGCGGCGGGGCCTCCTCGTCGAGCCGCGTCGTTATAAAAGGTTCGCGTCGCGTCCCTCCTCTTCCTCGTCCTCGTCCTCGTCCTCGTCGTCGTCCTCGTCTTCGTCCTCGTCATCTTCCTCCTCGTCGTAGTAGTCGTCGTCATCGTCGTCCTCGTCGTCGTTAACGTCGTCCTCGTCGTCATCGTCGTCGTCCTCGTCCTCGTCGTCGTCCTCCTCGTCCTCGTCATCTTCCTCCTCGTCGTAGCAGTCGTCGTCATCGTCGTCCTCGTCGTCGTCGTCCTCGTGGTCATCGTCGTCCTCGTCGTCGTCGTCCTCGTCGTCGTCCTCGTCGGCGGCGGCGGGGCCTCCTCGTCAAGCCGCTCCTGCGAGGGCTCCTCCGGGCCGCAGGCCGGGCGCACCGCGGCGTCGTCGAAGCAGGCCCAGGCCAGCGCGCCCGGCGAGCCCTGCGGCAGCGGCGCGGCCTCGCTGGGCCGGCCCAGGCAGACGGCACCGAGGAACAGCGAAGAGCAGAAGCATCACGAACTTCATGTTGCTCCCAGCGCACTTGAGCGCCGCGTCCCAGAAAGGATATCGAGCACCCCGAAGAGGTATCGAAGCGGTGTCGAGCGAGTAGGGCCTCCCAGGGCCCGGCACGTGAAAACCCTCGGGCGTCGGCACTTCCTCCGTGCTCGAAATTCTTGATGGTGGTCAAGGCTAAAGCAGGTTGGAACGACACAACATGAACTGCCGGAAGTCCGCGGATCTCGTGGAGAGCGAGCGAGCAAGGGCGCCAGAAGCAGCCAGGGCCTGGCCCAGAAGAAGGGGCGGGCGGCAGGCTACGTGTAGGCAGGCGGGCCCGTCTGTGGCGGCTGGTGGACGCGCCCGCGTGGACTGGAAAACAAACGGCACCACCTCGCCTACGGCCCCACGGGGCTTCGCGTATTCTCGGCGGTGGACAAACCTCCCTTTAATAAACCTCCCCTCAGTGAAAACGGCCTAGGACCGAAACCGACGGACCTGGACCCGCAAAAATGACGGCCGCGACGCCCTCTCGCAAACCGAAAACGGCCGATTCCTTAATCGACGTGTCAGGGTAGGAGATCTATCAACCTCCGATATACCGGGAGATCTGGCGTGGGCTTTTGCGTGGTATGCGCTACGGCGCCCGATGCACCGCAGCACAACATGGAGGACCGTAGGTGAGGTGGTGTCGTTTGTTGTTTGGCCGAGTCCGCGCGGATCTCGTGGGAAGGTCACTGCAAGTCACGGTGAAGTCATGTGAAGGGCGGAGGAAAACCATACATAAGGTGGTGTCGTTTGTTGTTTTGGTCGAGTCCGCGGAAATGTCACGGAAAGTCACGGTGAAGTCGTGTGAAGGGCGGAGGGCACATGGCGCACCTCCGATTGATGGCGGCGGGCCGCCCATGGTGCACACCTTTGGTTGTCGAAAGGCCTGTGGTGCCCTTCGGTGCCCACCCCGTGCCGTTCACATGGGCTTCGCACCTCCCCGCAGGGTGGGGAGATGGGTGGCGCCTCTGGCGCCGCCCCTGGCGCGCGCTCCGCGCGCCAGTGAGGGGGTCCACCAGCACCGATCCAAGAACCCCGCGCGGACACCCGAGACTCTGTGATCACGCCCCTGCTGTTCCTCGGATGTAGTGGCCGCACCGCGGTGAGGACCCGATGTGGTTGACAATGGCGTAGAGGGAGTACGCCGCGGAGGTCTCCCGCCCGTCCCCGTCGGCAACGGGCAGGTCCAGCACCTCTCGGCGACACGCAAGAGTGGCCCTGGGCAGGAGGGACCCCCTGGCGCGCGGCTGGAAGGGGGCGCGGGGCAGCCGGGTCCAGGCGCGCAGGCTGCTGCTGCCGCACGGCACTCGGCGCTCGGCGAGCCCCCGATGGGCCCGCACCAAAGGTCATCCCAGCTGTGGAGGTCACGCCTGCGTGCAGTCGTCAGGAGGGAAAAAACACACAGACACAATGAATCGTCGACTCCCCAGAAAATATAGGAAAATATTGGAAGTGGGGGGGAAGACAAAAACCCAGGAAATACACGAAAATATGGGGAATCTTTTTATTTGTGTGTATTTATTTGTGTGTCCCAGGGCCCCTTCAAGTCGAACCTTGCTGGCGGCCACGTGCGCGTCGACCTTCGGTGGCTCCGAAGGGTGTGGTTGGCAAAGGGTGTGATTTGGACCCGAGCCTCGAGGGGGACGGGCGAGGACCTCGACAGAGATCTCTGCCGCGCCCCGACGTGGGCTCATCAAACCGCTGGTGGAACGTAGTGAGCCCCAACGGCGCGATCGCAAACCACACCCTGGCGTACGGTCAAAACGGATGGTAAGGATGCGCGGTAAGGGTGCAAGCCCCTTGGACGCCCGTGTCGACTTGTTTCGAGCGGAGCTGGCCATCAAAAGTGGCTATGGACCGAAGATGCAAGGACGCAAAGAGCATCCTTGGGAAAGTTACCCATCCTTCTCATCGATTCCGACCGCCGCCGCACCCATTGTGAACGCCGAACCTTCTCCTGCCCGCCACTGGCCGTGAACGCGAACCGGTTCAGCGTCACGACCAGCTGCTCCGGGGGCCGCGCCACCTGAGGGGCCACGACAGGGGGGGGACCAGCCTGCGTGGCAGCTCCAGGAGGAGCGGTCCCCGAAAGGGCAGGCGGCACAAAGAACACAAGAGCTAAGGGCGTCAGCCGGCACTTTGCAACCGAAGAGCCTGGCGAACGTGTACGGGGGTCCTCGTTCGTGACAGCGGCAGAAGAGTAAGAGTAAGTAAGAAGAGTAAGCTCAGGGGGGAGAACATCGACCTCGAATCAGCGGTACACCGCCGCATGCATATATGTATATACATATATATATATATACACATATGTGTATACATACATACAAGACTGCAGTGGCGCTTCGCGCCATGCACCTTGGTCCTTGAAGTTTGGTATGCAGGCGGAATAGCAAGAAGGTCAAGCCGACAATTTAGCGATAACTCCTTGTTGCATTTTTCCGGCATCGCCGCTATGATAGTGTTATTCGTTATTCTTCCTCCATGTTTCTTTTTCTTCATGTTCGCCATACCCTGCGCATTCTCCCCATCCTCCTCAGCTCTTTTTTGCGGAGGCTCCTCCTGGGAGGGCCTCTGGGGGCCTCAAAAAGGTTGTTTCAGGCTTTCTTAAGGCCTTCTGGAGGCCTCCTGGGCGTATTCTGGGGGCCTCTGGGGGCTTTCTCGGGCCACCCTGCCTCCAATCGCGGTCTCCCTAAACGACCGGGTCATGCTTCGGAGGGTCTTGGGGCCATCTTGGGCCGCCATGGGGCTCTCTGAGGGTCATCTTGGACCCGTGTTGTGCCGTTCTGGGGCTCTCTTGGACTGCCTGGAAGCCCTTTCGGATGGTTGTGGGGCGATTTCGGAGCCTCTCAGGCGGCTTCGGACGCCAGAAGACCGCAGTCTTGGAGCGTCGGGAACCCGAAAAGAGGAGTACCCCAAAATTCACCAAAAGCCAATAGAAAATCAATGATGTTTGCCTCTTGGGGCCTTCTTGGGAGAGCTCTTGGAGGCCTCTTTGGGGCCGTCCTGGAGGCCTCTTGGGCCATCTCGAGGTCACGTCGGTCACTCGTGGAGCGCTCTTGTGCTGTCTTGAGGGTCTCTCAGACGTCTCCGATGACCCCCCTGATCGCCCTAGGTGTGCTGGGAAGGCTTGGCAAAACGCCCTGCGAGGCCCGCGGGCCGCTTCGAGGCCCGTCCGGAGGGTCCCAAAGCTCCAGATCCCGGGAGTCCAGTTTTGGGGTGGGGGGGTCCCCCCGCCTGGGCTTTTATGTATATATATATATATACCAGGCTTTATAACAAACAAAAAACACAAATGATGAACGAAAACAAAACAAAAACAAACAAACAAACAAACAAACAAACAAACAAACAAAAAACGCGCGCTTCGCGCGCGCATAGGTTCTAGCAGTGCCTACGGAACTCTCGTATCCCAAGTTGGCCATGAGCAGGGCAGGAGTGTAAACAAATGCAGACATCCTCCAAAATCAAACAGGAAATGAATGATTTTAGCTTATTCGGGCTTTCCCAAAGGATGTCTTGGAGGCGTCTTGGCCGCCTCGAGGCTAACTTGAGCGACCTTGACCCCACATTGGGCCGTGTAGGCTCTCTCGAGGCCATCTTGGGCTCTCTTGAGGCCATCTTAGCGGTCTTGGAGGCATCTCTGAAGCCATCATGGGCCATCTTGGCCGTCTTGGAGGCCATCTAGGTCGTCTTGGACCGGGAACGTGGGGTCCTGGAGCCCCAGTGCCGCCATGGACGGGGCTGTGTTGGAGGCAATATCAAGCGTTTTGAATCCTCCTGGGCCGTCTTGGGGCCCTCCTGGAGCCGGCTTTGGGGCTTCTTGGGCCGTCACGGGGCTATCGTGGAGGCCTCTTGGGCGCTCTGGGGGCGATCTTGGGAGCCTCTTGGGCCATCTGGACCGTCGGCAGGCCGAAAAAAACAAAATGCTAAATCCTTCAAAGAAACAGCCGGAAATCTATGATTTTAGCTTCTTCTGACTTTCCCAAAGGATATATTGGAGGCGTCTTGGCCGCCTCGGAGGCGATCTGGAGCTATCTGGACCCCATATTGGGCCGTGCGGGGTTCGTTTTGGGGCCCTCGTGGGTTCTCTTGAGGCCATCTTGGCGACCTTGGAGGCATCGCTGAAGCCATCATGGGCCATCTTGGCCATCTTGGAAACCGCATAAGCCATCTCGGACCAGGAACGGGGGGTCCTGGAGCCCCAGTCCCCGCCGTGGAGACATGAGGGCGGGCCCCCCTGGGGACCTGGAACCCCTGGTATCGATACATACATACGTACCTACCTACCTACCTACCTACCTACCTACCTACATACATACATACATACATTGATACATGAATGCATGCATGCATACATACATACATGCATACATATTCACACATATACATGTGTACGCACACACACACACATATATATATATATATACATCTACATATATGCATACATACATACATGTGTGCACACATGCATGCATACATACATACATGCATCCATACATGTGTAGACACATGCATACATGCAAATACGTATACATATACACATACCTATACATAGACATAGACATAGACATAGACATAGACATAGACATAAACATAAACATAGATACACATATACAAACATACACGAACCCATATGCATAGGCATAAACATACACATATACATATACATATACATAAAAAACATACATACAGACATGCATATAGATGTACCTATATATATATATACATACGGATATACATACATGCATACATGCATGTATGCATACATACATGCAAATACATAAAGACACACATACATACATACATACATACATACATGCATACATACCCACATGCATACAAAAATGCAGACATACATGTACACATGTTACAACAATAATACCAAAAAATGATGATAGTAGTAGTAGACAATTGAATATAATGTCGGCGGTAGGCCCTCGATAACGATTCCTTCCGCCCGTTCCTGAGCGAGGCGGGCGTCCGGGCCACCGTCGGCGATCCCTGGGCGATTGGGGGGCTCGATGCACCTCACCCGGAGCCTACAGTGGGAGCTCGACCACAAGAGACCTCCCACAAGAAACCCAACCCTGAGACCCCAGGATGCCCACTGATTTTTCGTGTCGGAACGTCACGCTTTCCATCGCAAAACCACCGAAACCCACGAAATCTAGGCATCCCGCAGGCAAGCAGGGTGTCTCTTGGCATGGGTTTCCTCTCTCTCCCCCCCCAACATTGCCCGTCAGCACCCGCCAGCGGCGGCGCGAGGTGCCGGCCTCGCCGCACGCGTCGCAGCGGTAGCCCGGCAGGGCCTGAGACAGAGCCAGGACGAGGACAACTTCGGGTGAGGAGAAATCGAGAATCTGTGAGATCCGGCGGCTCTGGATGATGTCTCGGGCACCGCGGCCTTCTCAGAGAGTTCCTGAACGCTCTGAGAGCGTCCAGGATCGCTCAGGAACGGATTCTCCTCCTCCTCCTCCTCCTCCTCCTCCTCCTCCTCCTCCTTCTCCTCCTCCTCCTCCCCCGCCCCCGCCCCCTCCTCCCCGGGTCCTGACCCTCGCCCTCGCCCCGACCGAGGGCCTCCTCGCCCAGGTACGCCCGCAGAAGCGAGGCCACCCCCCGCGGCTCCCCCGCCGCGGCGGCGCCGCCCTCGGCCGGCGGCCCCTCCGCGCCGGCGCCCGCGGCCCCGAGCGGCAGGCACAGGTCGGAGAAGGTCTCCCTCGGGGGGCGGCGAGCTCTGCTGCGAGGGGGCCCAGGGACACACAGGCGAGGAGGAGGACACACGAATCCCAGGATTCCCAACATTTTCCGGTATATGTGTATATATATATACATGTATACATAAATATATATATATATATATATATATATATGTATATATGTGTGTATATGTACATATATGTATATGTATACTTAAATATGTATATATTCTCATACGCACCTCTCCGAGGGAGTAAAGCTCAGAGGGGATTAATGCGTCCGTGCGTGCGTCCGTCTTTGATTTTTCTGGCCGTTTCGCTCGGGACATCCTCGAAATTCTGAAAATCGGTGGCACCCCTCACGCAGATCGTGAAGGAGAGGTCCAAAAACACATAGGAATTCAACCATTTTAACATAAAACCTTCAAAAACACATGGTAATTTCAATAATTTTGACCCCGATTCTCAGAGAATGGCGGTTTCGCCTGAGACATCCTCCCAAAATCGAGCCCCAGACCCCTCCTCGGAGCCTCCTGGGGGCCTCCTGGAACCTCCTGGGGCCTCCTGGGGCTTTCTGGACCTTCTGGTACCCCAGACCCCGCCTCGGAGCCTCCTGGAGTTCTCCTGGGCCTGCTGAGGCCGCCTGGGGCCTCCTGGGGCCTCCTGGGGCTTCAGAACTACATGCACACACAGAGACACAAATCACGCCCAACACATCACACGCTAGACAAACATAACATACACACACACACAACACCGACAACACACAAAAAGCACGCACCACACAAAGCACACATCACACACACACACACTCACAATCCTGGGGCCTCCTGGAGCCTCTTCTGGTATCCAAGTCGGGCCTCCTGAGGCTTCCTGGGGGGCCCTGGTACACACATCGCAAGGTGTGGCAACCCCACTTGCGCTCGAGTGCGACTTCGCTGTTGCATGTCACTCCTGCTTCAAACGCCCCTTCAGCTTGTTGTATGAGCCTGGGCACACACGTGCCACTTGTATATATGTATATGTATATGTATATATATATGTGTAAACATATATATATATATATGTACATATGTAAACATATATATATATATATATGTGTATACATGTATGTCTATATGTATATAAATATGTATAAGTATATAATTATATATGTGTATACACATATGTATATATACATATATATATACATCGTCTGGGTGTTCGTCCTCCCCCCCACCCCGACGTCCCACTCTTCCCCCTATTTTCTCCTGGGGGTCGGCGGTTCCCTGTGTCCGTGTCTTTGCTCCCCTCCTGCTATTCGGCGGCGAGCGAAGGGAGGCTTGGAGGACGCACCAGGCGCCGCGGTCGTTCCAGAGCGTTCTCCGGAAGGCTCTGTGAGAGCGTTGCTCCTCAATCAGCGGCGAGCGAGGGGGGGGAGGCGAGGAGGCGAAGGCCTCCTCAGAAGTCGGCCCTCCAGACTTCTGAAATGTTGTCTGTGCCTTCGGGAAGGCGTAGAAACTTCTCAGCAGGCTGGAGGACTTCCAAACCTTCTGGGGAGGCCTTCTCCCTGTCACTTCCCCAATAGGCTCGCCGCCGAACTACGCCCGCGAAAAAAAAAAACGCGCCGTGAAAAAAACGCCACTGATGGTTTTTTGCCGTTTGCGGCCTCCAAGGGCCCTCGCCGGGCCCCAGGACCGTCAAAAAACGACTCGGAGTGTCAAACCGGACCCTGGGCAAGGGGTCGGGGAGGAGAAGCGGGAGGAGGAGGAGGCGGAGGAGGAGGAGGACGAGGAGGAGGAGGAATTACGCCGACAAAGCTGCATACCCAACCATAAGCGGGAATAAGATGAAGTTTACCATACCGCAGCGAGATGCTTGACCCGAGCATATGATGGCACAATCCGAGACGATCAATATCAACGCGGACGTCACCCTGAAGATAATGACCTTCAACGTCGAGAGCACTAGGGAAGCCGAACTGCAAAGAACAAGAAAGATGTCAAAATTAGGACGGCTGGTAAACGAATGGCGCGAGCCTATACTTCGACCGCAACTAAAAAACATGGGACTGCATCTGATCGGAATACAAGAAGGACGGAATGAACAAAGATGTGCCACCAAGAACGGATATTACATCATCAGCAGCCCCCACGAGGACTACAACCTTGGATGCGAACTTTGGGCACACTTACAAGAGCCATACGCACAGACCAAGGCAGGACAGCATATTTCGACCCGACCCAGTTCCCCGAACTGATATCAAAGCCCCGCATGTTGGTTGTCGCAATCGAGACGCCAATCATCAAGTTCAAGGTTTGCGTATGCCATGCACCACACAGCAAAAAGAAGAAGGCCGTAATCCAAGAAATCGGGGCAAAAGCTCACCTCCAGCTGATCAACACCTTTATCTCCAACGGGAAGACCCATCACACCCGGAAGGATTCCAACGGCAACGGACATCGCATCGACTTCGTCATGGCGGACGCGACGCTTACCCCGAGCCCTGCAAGACTGCAGGACTGTGCCCGATACAAAGATGGTTAAGAAACGCAAGAAAACCGACACGCCACGTGAAGACCGCACACCAGTACAGGCCACGTTCGCATGGAAGAAATCGGCACGAGCAACAAGAAGACTATTTCAGAAGATCGATAGGACGAAGCTCGCCGACAAGGACGCCATCCATGTCTTCAAAAACATGCTCGATGCCACCGCGCTGCCACCCTGGAACGCCAACTATGACGAATACATCTACTGGTATATGTTGAGTGCCATGGAAGCCGCAGTCGCCGCATTCCCTAAGCAGCAGAAGAAGAAGTATCAGGAATACATCTCCGACGCGACGCTCGACTTTATACTGGATCGAGTAAAAATAGGGGAGCTGCTACGCAAGGCATCTCAACTCGGAGAACACCATCCTGCAGTTCAAAGGCGTATCAAGAAGGATGTCGATCATACAAGAAAATACCCACTGCGACACATCCCAGTGCAGGAAGCTATCTTGGCATACGAGGCCACGATGCTGATCAACATTACAGCTTACGAGGCCAATATCAGTGGGCGGACCGACACGTTCTTCAAAGGAATATTACGGTATGGTACAACACGACTAGGGAAATGGCATCGTAGGTGGGTAACGCTGGCTACGACAACTTCATCGACACTCAAGCTCAAAAAGCAGCCTATGCAAAAAGAAACGACGAGCCCTACAACGAGAGCAAGTACATAAAACAGCTACTCATCTTCGGAGGCCGCAAGCGAAGGAAAGCAAGAACGTACCCGATGATGACGGACGGCAGCGGCAACGTACTAAGCAACAACATCGAAAAGGCTTGAGAAGCGACGCCACGGGAGCATTGAAGGATCTCGATTCCTCAGCAAAGACCAGATAATACAGCGATACAACAGCACCGACGACATCACTACGCCACAGATGGAGCGAAGCATCAACAACTTCGCTAGCATCTACGAGCTGGAAGACCAGCTCGCGAAAGCAAAAATTGGTCGCGCTGCTGGACCAGACGAGATCACGGACGACCTGGCGAGGATTGCGCCACGCAAAATGGCAAGGCACATGCACCCTGTTGTTACTAAGGCTGCTCTCTACTGTCGCGAGGCTATTGCACACAAAGGATCTCGCGTTACTCATTCCTGGAGAGGGAGAAGCAGCCAAGAACAGCTTCAACAGCACAAGTGCCTATCGCTGGCCAATACTATAATCAAGCATCATTACCGCTACATCAGGCAATGCATGAAGGCCTTGATGCCAGATCTTCTTCAGTACTCAGACTGGCGGACGACAGCACTACAGCACCGCCTACAACCACATGATGGTACGATGGTTATTCAACATGGCCGCCAACGTCAAAGAGAAAATCGTCCTAGTTATGATCGACCTGAAGGCCGCATTTCACGAAGTTGCCACAAATCTCGTATACGATGGAAGTGCTAACATCATGAACATCGGCAACATGATCCTCCACATGGAAATGCCACACGCCATGCAGCCGGCCATAGTTCAGCTAATGAAGGACAACGCGATCGTCAACAAGCACGTGGACAACGCTCACATCGTTGCCATGCTCACCGAAGCCCACCACAGCACATGGTTCGATACTGAGAAGGACACCGAAATCGCCGCTCCAAGGCTAGGCTCTCGGCCGGGAGTGCCGCCAGCGGACTTCACAGTCAACGCGCTCATGTCAGACGTCACGAAGGACTACCACGAAAGAGCGATGGAAAACAGCATTACAGTACGTATTCCCGCATCTCATCGCGTAGACCAGGAGAACGGCGACGAGAAAGAGATGACGTCTACATCTTTTGTGGATGACGTTGAAGCAGTTGCGATGAGAAAGGACGGCAACCAGATCAGGAGCGCGGTCGAAACGATGCGGGGACATATCATACGCACGACTATGTCGCGAGGGCTGCCGATCACCACGAACAAGTCCTATTTCATGATCTTCGCCACCACACCCGATGGGAAACGCACTCTTCGCGACATGTTCCTCACCAACAAGATATACACCGACCTGGGCATGACCATATCGATAACGCGATCTGCTAAATTACTCGGCGCCATGATTAACGACCGCAACGACCTGACGCAGGAAGTGACGGCACGGATCCTCACACTTAAAGAAGCAACAGCTCCTTTACGTAAAACAAGTTTCAAGCGCCAAGCTATCACGACGAAAACCGAACTGCACTACCTGGAGTCGTGCGGATCCCCACGGCTACTACTCACTGCAGGCACGTGGATTACGTACAAAAAGACCAACATTGACAAGAGCAACATTGCTTACACGGCCGCCAAAAGAGAAGCGCAGGGAATCAACCACCACAAGATGAAAGAAAAACGGATCACGTGCAATGAGATCATCGGCGAAGCAGGACTCCCGCTGCTCCCGCAACGGCTACGACGCGATCGGTTACGAGAAGTTCCACGTATCCTCCTACAAAGCCCTAGCGAATCACAAGCCATGTTGGATTACGATATCGACAATGCGGGACAGTGGAGCACCACGTTCATCAACGACATGGCCAAGATTTGCAAGTACGTCGACCCAGACAAAAGACCCCTTTACCTGGCGATATCCCCAGCTGGATTAAGATGGCACGCGACGAACCTACAATCCCACCAGCCCTTTGGGCGTGAGTGGTTTAGAGAGCCCGCTCTGTTCTCAACCCTCCTTCCCCTTCGGGGAGGGGTTTACCCCTCCCCCTACCCCCTCCCCCTGGGCCTGGAGAGGTCCTTTCGCGGGTGGTCAGGGGGGTCCTTTTCGACTCCTGGGAGGGCAAAAAAACGACACCCCTCACGAGGATTCTGGCCCCGACGGGGGGGACCAGAAAAAAATGATCTCCTCTTCTTTGAAGCCAAAATCATTGATTTTACTACGGTTTTGGCCCCACTTTGGCCTTCTGAGGGGGCAGCGCAAAATTACAGCTCCCCTCTTCCTTCAAGGCAAAACCATTGATTTTACAAAGGGTTTGGGCTCATTTTGCCCTTCTGATGGGGCAGCGCTCATTGAAGCTCCCCTCTTCTTTGACCCATCCCCTCCAAGATGGCCCCAAGAAGCGCCCAGGAGGCACCAAGAGGCCCCAAGATGGCCCCAAGAGGCCCCCAGGAGGCCCCCAAGAGGCCTCCAAGAGGCCCCCAAGATGCCCCCAATAGGCCCCCAAGGGGCCCCAAGAGGCCCCCCCGAGGCACCCAAGACGCTCCTGGAAGCCCCTGGGGCCGCCAAGAGGCCCCCAAGACGCCCCAAACGGCCTCCAAGAGGCCCCCAAGAGGCCCGAAGAGGCTCCCCCAACCAAGGCACCCAAGACGCTCCTAGAAGCCCCTGGGGCCGCCAAGAGGCCCCCAAGACGCCCCAACAGGGGACGAGGTGTCCGAACGCCTCACGCCACGAGGAGCCCGAACGACTCACACCAGGACGAGGGGCCCGAACGACTCACACCACGAAGAGCCCGAACGACTCACACCAGAAGGAGGGGCCCGAACGACTCACACCAGGACGAGGCGCCCGAACGACTCACACCACGAGGAGCCCGAACGACTCACACCACGACGAGGGCCCCGAACGACTCACACCACGAGGAGCCCGAACGAGTCACACCAGGAGGAGGGGCCCGAACGACTCACACCAGGACGAGGGGCCCGAACAACTCACACCACGAGAAGCCCGAACGACTCACACCAGGACGAAGAGCCCGAACGACTCACACCACGAAGAGCCCGAACGACTCACACCAGGAAGAAGGGCCCGAACGACTCACACCAGGACGAGAAACCCCAAACGACTCAAACCACGAGGAGCGCTTTCTCTCCCTCCTCCTCCGCCTCGTCCTTCTCCCGCTCCCACCACAAGGAGGATGTACAAGGAGGCGGGAGGAAGGAGGAACAGGGGAGATATGCGGGGGCAGGCGGAAACACGCCTGAAAAACACGACTGTCGGCATGCTTCGCAAGAGTTGCTGTTTTGAGATGGGCTGGTGGGGATACGCGAAGCGTAAAGAATTTTCAAAGGCATCGTCTCCCAAACATAGAGAAGATCGATACATGAGACAGCCGAAGAAGCACAGCGAGTCAAATGGAGACGATCACTCGAAGCGATCTGCATGGGCACCCACCTCCATCCATCGCTACCTAAGGCCGACGTGAACAACCAATACATGTGCTACCAGTGCAGGGCGATACTCAACGGGAAGGCGGCATATCAGAAGCACATCAACGCGGTACATCGCCCCACGAACAACATCGCCAACAAAACAGTCGGGACGGAATGCCAAATTTGCTGGTCCGAGTACTGGACCCCCAACCGACTCCTGAAACATATGAAGGCTACGCCCAGATGCGCCAACTCGCTACTACAAGTCAGCGGCGAACCTGATGAAGAGGAGATCGAAGTCAACCGACGTGAGATCAGACGAATACGAAGGACCAACAAGGCGAAAGGACTACCCGAGGACTACGCTGAGAAGCCATGCGTGAAGCTACAAGGTCCCCCACGCGGACTGCCGAGAACCGATCCCGATTGCAACGCTGCAATGCTATCGATTGCTGCGCCTGAGAAGGAACCGCAAGGGCGCCACGACAGCGAGAACAGTGACAACGCACGACGCCACCGACAGACAGACGAGAACCCTTCAAGACCCGACAAGACCGCCCACGTTTCCAGATACAAAAGGATGCTCAGATTCAGCAACGGCCAAAGGCACTACGACGACATGCAATCACAGCTAGAGCACCGAATAACAGAAGCCATCATCCCAACATGCATCATCTCGGTCACGACCGACAACAACGCTGACCCCGAGGACGAAACACTAAGACCAACCTGAATGCATAACAAGTGGTGACGTCAACCGATCAAAAACGGAGATGTCGGTGCGATCGGAATACACATCACAACCGACACCACCGACCAGGCAAGTCTGCACACGACGTGAGTCAGCCATGGGGAAAGAAGAATGCAAGCAAGATGACAAGGAAAAGGACCCACCACGACAATACGAAAATATGCGAAATCATCAGCATTGCTGACGCTTGCGCTGCATTTAGCATACCATTCGTCATGGACGACCGCAACCTACGGCGACTCAAGGAACCAGAACTTGAGCACCTTGCCGCCTCCAGAGTGATGACGCGGACTGCTGAGTTGATCACAAATGTTACTGCTGCAGCTGCAGACAGGCAGCCATGTATGACGGACATCCTTTGGACGATTGCGACAACCATCAACGGCGCGCACGAGCTCAGCGAGATACAGCAGTACCACAAGACGTACTACCAGTACTGCGACGTTGCGGGTGTGTATGGCAGCTACGTGGACGAGACCGCCCAGGAGACATCTGCAGCCACAGCGCGAAGCGCCGAAGGGTGGCTGCAAGATGAAGGCCTCCGCAGCGCCGACGGCGCCGAAGGGCGCTAGGCCACATCAGGAGGATGCCAACAACAGACAGGCGCCAAGACATCTCGTCTCGGCCCAGGCCCATACGAGGGGCTCACGATGCGGCTCAACGGCAAGTCGCCGATGAAGACAGACGGCGACACCCTGTACAAGGGCTACTGGGGCAGGGACACCCCCTCGTCGGCGTTCGTGTCGACCCCTACGAACGGGGGGTGCAGGCGGCCGACGAGGGGGACGAGAGCATCATCCTCTACTGAGAAAGGCAGGGCGGCCGCGGCCGCGCCTCGGAGGCCCCAGAGCTCCTCCCCCCCCCTCCTCGAGCCCGACGAGCCCTTGGAGGCCCCTCCCTCTCTTCCCCCGCTGCTCTGCGGCCGCTGCCTTTCACGCTCGTCGTCCACGGGCCCCCGCGCTGTTCGCTCCCTGGTCCCAGGCTGTCGTGCTTCCTGGTCCCTGGCCTGGGCGTTCCTGTTCCGGTGGGGGCCCGTCGGACTGCAGATGCATGTGCGCCTTGGCCCTCGACCACCACCCACTGCACCTCCTCCGTGCTGGTGGTCCTCGTCACCATCGGGGCGGCGGTCGCGGACCCAGGGACCCGTGGCTTCGGGCGGGAGCCTCTGAGATTGCGCTCCACTCCTTCCCACGGCCTCTCGGCCTCCGCCGTTCCCTCTCTTCGAGGTCCATGGAGGCTGCCGTTTGTCTCTCCTTCCTGGCGGGGGTCCCTCGGGTCCTGTGGCCATCTTTTTGCCCGTCTTTTCCGAGGCCGCATGAGTCTCTCCGAGGCTTCTCGGAAGATCCTTGGAGGCCTTCGCAAGTAGTTAGGGCCGTGCGTCGCGCCGTGCGGGCCGCGCGCGGCACGGCGCGGGCTGCGGCGGAGAACCGCCTTTGCGCCCGCACTGCGCAGGAGGAGGAGATGGAGGAGGAGGAGGAGGAGGAGGGGAGAAGGAGGAGGAGGGGAGGAGAGGGAGGAGGGAGGAGAGAGGAGGGAGGAGGGAGGGAGGAGGAAGGGGGGAGGAGGAGGAGGGAGGAGGGAGGAGGGAGGAGGGAGGAGGGAGGAGGAGGAGGGAGGGAGGAGGGGAGGAGGGAGGAGGAGGAGGAGACCCCGTGGAGAAGGAGGAGGAGGAGGAGGAGGAGGAGCGCATGTCTCGGTACACATCCACTGCCCGTGGCCAGGGGCAGTGGATATGTCTTGTTTGGTTTGGTGATATGCTTATGTGTTTGTGTGTGCTGGTTATGTTGTATTGCGCTGTGTTTTGTTGTGTAGATGTGTGTGTGTGTGTTGTGTTGTATGTATTTGCTTTATCTCGCCGCCCGACCTCTTCTCCTGGCGGTGGCCGCAGGCCTCGCAGCGGACCACGGTGCAGGCGCGGCCTCCGAAGCTGCGCGCCGTCAGGGATTCGTCACGCTCGGCGTCGCCCACCTGTGCAATGCAAGGGCCCTAGCCCTTTGCGAGGGGACCTAAGTTGGGAGGGGCAGGAACACTATGGACAAGGAGCCTGTGTCTGCAGATGCATCGACACCAAACCGCCCAGAGCTATTGCCCCTAATGCGAAGACGGGGGCCAACTCAGTTAGGCCACGTCCTCATCGTGTTATTAGGGTTAGGGGCTCTTCTGTTCTCGATGAACCTTCTCGAACAGCCACCTCGCAAGCTCCGTCACGTCCTGCTGCTTGCCCCCGAGGCCGAACGGCGTCAGGGAGGCCAGGGCGGAGGGCGCGAAGGCCCTGCGGCCGACGGCCAGCCTGGTCAGCACCTCTGGACACCCGAAACGCGGGCCCAAGAATACAAATCACCATCACCTTCATCCCCCTCCCCTCCTTCCTCGTTCTGGCGAGAGGGAAGGGGTGAGGGAGGCGGTGGTGTATAGTTTGGAGGCCCGTACGGAATGGGTACGGACAAAAATGGCACGATGCTCTACAACGAATGCTGTCCGAAACCGACCGCGGCCGCTGTTGAGCAGGCGGCCTTCCGTCTCGAGTGGTCAACGTCCACGGCGACACCGACAGCGAGTCCTGCTCAAAATGGACAGGAAGTGCCGTCGGTCTTCGACGGCCTGGCGCCACCCCGATGCATGCAAGCCGTCGCAGACACCTGGCCGAGGAGCGCTCCGCTGGGAGCGCGAGACGTCCCTTGCACCAAAAACCGAAGCGGCTCTATCTCCAACAAGGGAGGAGGAGGAGGAGGAGGAAAAAGGGGGAGGAGGTGGAAGTGGAGGAGGAGGAAGAGGACGAGGAGGCGGAGGAGGAGGAGGCGGAGGAGGAGGAGGAGGCGGAGGCGGAGGAGGCGGAGGCGGAGGCGGAGGAGGAGGAGGAGGAGGAGGAGGAGGAGGAGGAGAACGAAGAATGGCATAAACAGGAACACTCGGAGGCCCGCGCGGATTTTCTCGGATATCCCCGGCGCGCACGGAGCGGGGGCCCCGGCGCGCGGATCCGAGAGATCCGCGCGGACCTCCGAGTGTTCATGCTTATGCCATGCTTCCTTCCCCCAAGCTCTCCCTCCAGACATATCTAGGGGGCAAACAAACCTACCTCGCTTTTGACCACCCTCGCCTCCAAGAGACACCAAGCGATGCCAAATTGCAGCCTGTACCAGTCGGGCCGCTTGACGAGGAGGCGTATGGTATGGCTTGGTTTTGCCTGGAAGCGAAAGCGGGGTAGGTAATTCACGCTCTGATTCCCCCAAGCTCTCCCTCCAGACATATCCAGAGATCCGTCTCCTCCGTGCCCACTTCGGCCGTGCCGCGCCTGCGCGAGCGCCCTCTGCAGGGCCGCGCCGCCCTTCTGCGGCGCCGCCTGCCGCGGCGGGCCCGCGCTCGCCTCGCCCGGGCCCAGCAGCGGCGGGAAGAGCGCGAAGAGGTCCGCGGCGAAGCTCTCGGTCAGCCCCAGGGCCTCAAAGCATCATCATCATCATCATCATCATCATCATCATCATCATCATCATCATCATCATCATCATCATCATCATCATCATCATCATCATCATCATCATCATCATCATCATCATCATCATCATCATCATCATCATCATCATCATCATCATCATCATCATCATCATCAGCATCATCATCATCATCATCATCATCATCATCATCATCATCATCATCATCATCATCAGCAGCATCAGCATCAGCATCAGCATCATCAGCATCATCATCATCATCATCATCAGCATCATCAGCATCATCATCATCATCATCATCATCATCATCATCATCATCATCATCATCATCAACTGGGAGAGCGAAGAATGGCATAAGCATAAAGACTCGGAGGGCCGCGCGGCTTTCTCGGATCGGCGCTGGACCCCCTCCCTGGCGCGCGGAGCGCGCCAGGGGCGCCGCCAGAGGTGCCGCCGGGGGTCTCCAGCGCCGATCCGAGAAATCCGCGCGGACCTCCTAGTTTCTATGTTTATGTGCTTGTTCGCTCCCCTATCAAAGGGGCCCCGGGAGACACGGATGCATCGGCACGAGCTCCAGGAGCTCCCATAGTCGGCCATATTACCTGCATGTTTCCCTTCCCCTCCATGTCCCGCACATCCCCACAGCTTCGTGGAAAAAGATCAACGCGTGTTCGTGCTTGTGCCCACTTCTCCCTCCCGAGGCCTGCAGGAACGAGTTGAGGTAGCAGGTGTTGCCGATGTTCCTGAGCATCGTTTGTCCGACCCCTATCCCCAACGGCGTGGCCGTTAGCCCCACTGGCCGATTTACCCCTCTGGATTGGGATACAGGTCGTTCCCTTCGGGTTTCGAAGGGTATATCCCGGACTGGGGTGGTAAAATGGTGGGGCTCGGGCACCCAGACACTTGAAGGCATCCCATGCGCGCGACGGCGTCCAAGAAACAGCCAGCAAGCGCCCAGAAAACCCTGACGAGGCTTCAAGACGCTCACCAGGACGGCCACAAGGCCTCATTTCCCCCGGGGGTCGGCGGAATGGCGTAAGCCTCTTGAATCAAATGGTGTTGCTCGGGATGGGATGGGGGATGGGGATAGTGGTGAAACCAACGGTTACGGACCACTCCCGGGGTGCGTTCTGACCCGAAGTTCGAGGCGAATCCACCGGTGGCGACGAGGGCCTCCCAAGAGGCCGAAAAAAGGGAAAACGAGGGAAGGGTAGCGGTATTGGTACCTTTCCTGGACAAGCGCGTTCCACTACTCGCAAAGTAGCTACTCGCGCAAAAAGCCTGGCTCCGTGGCATCGAGGCAAAGGGGCTCCAGCGCATCGAGGCTGGCAAAGAGGCTACGTTGGGCGTTTGCGAGCAGGCACTTGTGAGAGCAGTGGAACGCGCTCGGTGATCCCCCTCCTCTGAAAGAAGGGGTCGGGGGTTGCTAAAGGTGCCCCTGGGCCAAGGTGCCCCCGGTTTTTCGCCTCGTGAAGGGTGGGTGCTCTAGGTCGTCGTGACCTCCTTGGAGATCCTGGGGGCACCTTGGGCCAGGGGCACTTCCAGCAACACCCGATGGGGGTCGGTGAAGCGATGCCGATGTTCCTGAGGCCCGCGCCCGCAGGCCGCACGGCGCCGCCCCGCCCAGGGGCAGCCGCCGCCCGCGCCCGCAGCAGCTCCTCTCGGTGGCTCAGAAGGTGGGGTCCTGAGGCACGGGACCCCCAGGATGGGAAGGGGTCCAGGGGTGGATTTTTGACCTGGGACCCTGGCGCTGCAATTTTGTCACGACGGGCGGTTCGCGGTGTTTTGGGCCCCAGGGCTTTCGCAGATCGGTCCGGCTCGAAGAATGACGCAGACAGGTGGGCTCTAGGGCTCCGGGCGCGACGCTCTGCGATGTTGCAATTTTATCGCAATGTCGGATCTCAGGGCACGTTGCGTGAGGCTCCTCGTCCACAAGATCGGCGGCAAGCCACTGGGGGAAGTGAGCAGGGGCGGGTCTTCTCAGAAGGCTCGGAAGTCATTTGGCCTTCTGAAAAATGCCCCACGCCTTCCCCGAAGATACGGAAAACCTGCGGTTCCTGAAAAGCTCCACCGCCTGTTGAGAAGGCCTTTTCCTTCTCACCCCCTCGCTCGCCGCTGGTTGAGGAACGCTCTCAGAACGCTCCGGAACGCTCTGAAACGGCCGCAAATCCGCCAATTCCTCCCAGAGGCTTCCGCGTTATATCGGTCCGAAGTTGTCTCGATTCTGTATTCGTCTCAAGGCACCTCGTCCCTCAGGACCCTTAGGAGGCAACTACTGGAAGGTCTTCGTCGGAAGGCTTACGGAAGATTCAAGCCCCTATGGGGGGCTGCTACGCCGAATGATGCCGCAGACCAAACGGGATTAAGCCAGATCAAACGGGATTGAACCGGATCAAGCGGGATCGAGCCAGATCCAGCGAGACGAAACCGGATCAAGCCGGATTTCGGACCAGAGCAAAGTCAGAAGTTGACCTCCAAGGAGTTGCCTCCGATCCCTCAAGACCCCACCTTTGACCCACCGATCCTCCAGCCGGGCCCGCTCGCAAGCGGGCGGGCCGCCCGCTGGCGAGCCCAGAGGCAGCGCCGCCAGGACGCAGGGCAGCGCAGCGCACAGCGGGGAGGACGGCTCGGCGGCAACTCGCGGAAGCCCAGGAGGCCCCCTAGAGGCGCACAAGGAACCCCCAACAGGCCCCCAAGAGGCCCCCACGAAGCCCCCAAGAGGCCCCAAAACTGCCCCCAAAAGGCCTCTGAGAGGCTCCGAAGACGGCCCCCAAGAGGCCTCACAACTGCCTCCAAGAGACACCGAAGGGCCTCCCACGAGAGTCCAACAAACATCCACCAGCCCTACAACCCACAACCCATCCACAGTGGTGGGACTTGTCGCAGGCAGCCAGACAAATATACAGAAATCCCCGGATCCCCAGTATTCTTCCATATTTCCTGGATTGTCGTCCCAGTCTCCACTTCCCATATGTTGCAAATATTCCTGGGAGTCGGCGGCGAGCGAGGAGGGGAGTGAGAAGGAGAAGGCCTTCTCAGAAGGCGGCGAAACTTCTCTGACGGCCGGGGTGCTTCCGAGCCTTCTGAGAGAAGGCCCGCCTCTTCTCACTCGGGCTCGCCGACGAATCCTGCAGGTTCTTGCGAGTCGGCGCTAGCCAAATATGTTATGTATTTGCTCGTCTGTTGGTTTTGGCATTGCACGCATGCGATCTGAACGAAGCCTGGATCACATCAACTATGTAATCGGCCACTGCACTGAGGGCGGTTAGAACGCAGCGCGCGTCCGATCTAGAGGCGCTGCGGTCACTCTCGCCAGGTATCTGCGACTGTGCCTGCGGTCGGCTGCTAAGGTACACCGTGCGAAAAGAAAGGAAGTGTACGCGACAACGCTCGATTCATCAGGATGAGCCTCTCCCATCCTGAACTCCTTCAGCGGCTTCGGCCCCAGATCGCGAATAAACACTTCAGGAAGATCGTCGGTGCGGAGATGCGGATGGTGGCTCACACTCGGAATCCGATCATTAAGAATACTTACGAGACGAGGCCCATGAAGAACCCTGAACACCAACTTGTTGAGAATGTGCTAGAGGCTCTCGAGACGCATGTCGATCTTATTCAGCTTGATACGGAAGTGACCACGACGCTGGGCAGTGACGCCACGACGCTGATGCCAAGGATCATCAGGGACACGCTCCAGAATACGAGGAAACTGAACAAACCCACTAGAATCAGTAGGAGCAGCGACCCACGGGTCATTGATGAAGAGCGGGTCGAAATTGCCAAAATCCTCAAGCGAATGCGCATGTGCACGCAGTGCCGCACGCCTCACTTCATGTTTGGCCTTATTGGCCAGCCAGTGCAAACGTAGTGCCGCATTGGTGGAGGTACCCGTGGTCGAACTTTGAACTGAAGCAGCGGCGTGACGAGCATAGTGCTGTGTAGCGCAAGCAGCGACATCATGAGAGCCATGGATTGCCATCGAGTGGAAGACGCACTTGGCGGAGGGGACCATCCATCACGGCACCGAGACCCACGTCTCACCATCACCAGGGGGGCTGCAATCGTAACCTCGCAGCACGGCACGAACAAGGCGACGAGCACGAGCAGCAGGCGAATGTTTGCGCACCATGACCGCTGGGCAGCTGCGCAACCAAATCAGCACAGCCAGAGCTTGAGCCAGGCTTGAGCCAAAATGGCTACGGAGAGTCGACGCTAGCCGAATCTTCCTGACTCTTGCGAGTCGACGCTAACCGACGCCAATCGACGCTGACTCCACGCAACATCGACGCTAAATCGACGCTAGACGACGCCAAATGGACGCTTTCTCATCGATTACCAGACAATAGCGCACGCTGATGCACTTTAAAAACGGAATTGCGAGGATTTACATCGGTGGCGAGCGAGGAGGGGGAAGTGAGAAGGGGCGGGCCTACTCAGAACGCTCGGAAGTCCCCCAGCCTTTTGAGAAGTGTTCTAAGCCTTCCCCGACGACACCAAAAAACCTCTCAGAAGGCGGCAGGGCTTCTGCTGGCCTTCTGAGAAGCCCGGCCGCCTTCTGAGACGGCCTTCTCCTTCTCATTTCCCCCCCTGCCTCGCCGCCGAATACAAGGCTCCCATGATTTGCTGCCGAAGGACGGGTGCCTGTTCGGGAGCTCCAGCAGAAGCCTGCCCGCGAACTCCGCCCAGCACGCTTCGGGGAGCTCGTCCCCCGCTGGCCAGTGGACCTAGAGGTCTCCCGGATGGAGGTCCGAATAGATGGCGTCGGGAGATCGCACCACATCTTGGAGGCCTAGAATGAGTACCAACACTTTTGTTTGTTTGGATGGATGCCAAGCGCGCCCGAGTGAGGTCAGGTACCTGCGCAGACCCGACCTGCCAGTCGACCATGAAGAAAATACCTCCTCCCCCTCCTCCTCCTCCTCCTCCTCCTCCTCCTCCTCCTCCTCCTCCTCCTCCTCCTCCTCCTCCTCCTCCTCCTCCTCCTCCTCCAGGTTACGAAGGCGTGCAAGTGGACCCGGAGAAAATAAATCGCACTGCTCTAGAGTGAACTCGTCGCCGCGACTCTGTAGCTGCTCGTCAGACAGATGCCGCCAAAAGGAGCTGTCGGGACCCAGCGCGTTCCGTAGAAGGCTCTTCGGAACGTGCTGGGGGGGCCTCCACCAGGGGGACATGATCCTGGATGCCGAGGCGACGACGGCGATGCATCGGCCGCGACGGCGTGGAGAAAGTCGGGCTCCACATCGACCCATATCGCCGATGCATCGGCGATGCGATGCGATCCTCCGACCCCGTCTACTCTGACCGGATCTGGAAGGCCCAGTGGACCACGACGCAGACGAGCGCGGCAGCCACCTCCTGCCAGCAGCTCTGGTCCGCCAGCAGCGACACCATGTCCAGCAGCAGCTGCAGCACTGGCCGCGCGCACCCCGCCTCGAAGCCAGGCGCAGCAGCGCCCGCGCCGCCGACGGGCAGGCAGGCCTGGAAGGCGGCCCCGTAGAGCACGACCCACGCGAAGAGCAGCACGCCACTCCCACTGGGCACACGCACCAGCTCCTCCGGGGGGGCGCAGTGGAGGGGCGGGGGGGCAGAGGTGGGGTTGTTGAGAGGAGGATCGGTCAAAACGGCCTGGGTATGCAGCCAGGCATGTTCAGCTCTGTCTTCGGAGTAGGCTCAGAAAACTGCTCAGAAGGCCCGAAGCCTAACCTTCTGAGAAGGTCCGCCCCTCTGCTTTCCCCCCTGGGCTCGCCGACGACACAAGATACCGGTACCGCTACTCCCCAGACCTCTCCCAGGGCCCGTTCTGACCAGAATCTCGAGGCGAATCCAGCCGTGGCGACGAGGCCCGCACCAGAGGCCCGAGAAGGCGACAACGAGGCAAGGGTAGCGGTTTGTACCGCCCCAGACCCCCGACGTCATGATTGCTTCATGACGTGGAGGCCCAGAAGTCAGGACCCCTTCCAGGGGACCCGACTTACACCCTGAGTCGTTTCGTGACTGTCCCAGGGCCCGGCGATGACCCCCAGAGGCCGAAAAATGCCAAAAACCTTCCGACGTGGTTGTGTCATGACCCGAAGGAGTTTAGTTGTCGGGCCTTTTTTAAATATGTTGTTGCTTTTCTTTTCTTTTTTAGTTTGGTGTTCGGGCGTTATCTCGGGCCTCCGGCGGCCGCTCGGGACGACCGGGGGGGGGCATCCCAAGAACGCCCTCGACGAGGCGCAGGGGCTGGAACGCAGCCCGAGGCGAAAAAACGTCTGAGGACAAACGAAAACGCCCGAAAACGCCCTCAACAAAACGAGGGTCTTTGTCGGTGCAGTCGAACTTAGGCAAGAAGAGCATCCCGCAAGAACATGAGACCCTCCGTCGGCCAAAACAAAGAGAACATCCCAGGGTACCCTCCGCCAGGATGCACAAGAACATCCAACAAGCACGAAAAACACTCGGGTAGTACCCTCCCCGAGCCGACCTCGATCTTCTACCTCGGTCCGACTGTACCGCTTCTCGGCGGAGAGCGACGGGGGGAAATGAGAAGCAGAAGGCCTTCTCAGAAGGCGGCGGGACTTCTCAGAAGCCCTCGCGCCTTCTGAGGAAATGCTCTTCTGGAAAAGCTTAGAGTAAACTTCTCAGAAGGCCGGGGGACGTCCGAACCTTCTGAGAAGGCCTTTTCCTTCTCGCTTCCCCCCTCGCTCGCCGCGGAACTTCCTCCTCTGCTGGGGGCGGCCAAGAGGAGGGCGTCCAAGAGGGGGGGGGCGCAAATCATGGCCGGCGGCATGTGCGCGGCCCAGGGGGGGGGGGCCAGGGACGCCTTGAAATGAGAAGAGGCGCCACGAAATCTGGGGAAGTACCATGACCCAGGCCATCATGTCCACCCCCCCCCCCTGGTCGTCACCCCCCTCTCTGCCGCCCCCGACACATGTCGGGGGCGCGCAAGCATGGATTAGCGATCCATGGATTTGGCGCGCGGTCGCCAAATCTGTGGATCGGGGGAGGTGCCCTCCCCAGAATGCGGCCGTGCCGCCTCGCTCGGCGGCGGCAGTCCACGATTCTTCATGGAAACGGGACCCGTCGCCAATCCACGCCCCCCTAATCCTGCCTGCGATCGCCCGAGAATACGACCGAGAAAACAGGGAACGAGGGACAGGAAGGAGACACAGAAAGCGGAGCCCCTTCGTTTTCGGCCCCGCGCTCGCCCAGGCCATGATCTCCATTCGGGGATGGACAGACCCCCCTTTAGTAAAACGTGGTTTAGTGAAAACGACCTGAGGCCCAAACCTGGCGGGCGCAAGCCTAGAAAATAACGGCCCCGGCGCCTTCTCGAGAACCGAAAACGGACAATTCACTGATCGACGTATCACTGTTGGGGGTTCTGTCCACCCCCGATCCATCCCCCCCCCCCTGGTCACCCCCCCCCCCGAGCTCCGCGGCGGCGTCCGACATGGTCCCCGTCAGCCCCGAGACCAGCGCGCAGAGCCAGCGGCTCGCGGGCGGGGCGCGCGGGCGCGCGGCCACCTCGGCGAGCCACTCCACGGACGCCGACGGCTCGCCGGCCTCCTGCAGGATCGCCGCGAGGGCCTCCTCGGGATAGGCACCTTCCCCTCTTTTTTCCTGCTCCTTTTCCTTTTCCTCCTCCTCCTCCTCCTCCTCCTCCTCCTCCT